CCTCATCCTGCAAATGATTGTCAGTCACAAGTGGACAATGCATCTAGGAGATATAAAAGGGGCATTCCTCGAAGCAAATGTTCGTGACAAGGCCTTAGCCAATCCAGTCTATGCAGAACTCCCCCCCAGGTGGAGTGCCCGGGGTTCCACAGGGTTCACTAGTGCAGGTCTTGGGGAACATCTACGGGGCAAATGATGCTCCTCATGAGTGGTATTGCGAGTTCGATAAAGTTGCAACTCGAGTAGGCTTCACCCGTAGTAAGTTCGATAGCTGCCTGTATTTGTGTCATGGGGATGATGGGAAATTGCAAGGTGTGCTAGGAGCCCACGTTGACGACACAATCACAGGTGGACAAGGGAACTACTATGAAGCTGCAATCGACAAGCTCAGGAAGCGTTTTCCTTTTAGGAAGTGGAGGTCTGGCACGGGAGAGTTTCTTGGCACCATATATGAACAAGATAGTGAAACTTTCGAGATCACGTTTGCACAGAAAGAATATGCAGAACACATCCAACCAACCCGCACCAACAAAGAAAGAAGTAAGAAACCATGGTTGCCAGCAAACCCTCAAGAAGTGTCTGCCCTTCGAGCAGTCAATGGAGCACTGAGCTGGTTGAGTACCCAGACTAGACCGGACTTGGCAGTACAGACTTCCCAAAGTCAACAATGTTTTCCCAATCCCACTGTCCAGGATCTGTTGCAGGCAAATCAGGCCATTCGCCGAGCACGACAACAGTCTGACCTCCGGATCCGTGTCCCTTTCATTTCACCCAACGAACTCACCCTCTGTTTTTTGGTCAGATGCAGCCTTCGCAAATACAGATGAGTTGGAAACCCAGGGGGGATGGCTAGTAGGGTTCACATCGGATCGCATGAGGCAGGGTACAGACGTGCCGGTTCACTGTTTTGCATGGAAGTCATATAGACTCCCAAGAGTGGTCTCTTCAACGATGGGAGGAGAGGCCCAAGCCTTTTCGACGGCCTCAGGAATGTGCGAATGGATTTCCCTGATGCTAGCTGAGTGTCTAGATGGTTCCTTCCTCCTAGAAGATGCTGAATCGGTTCTGTTGAGACGCAAACCAATTGGCATGACAGACTGTCGATCCTTATATGACCATTTGAACCCTCTTGGGTCAGGCGGGGTGTTGGACGACCGACGGACTGCAATCGATATTGCCATAATAAGACAGTCGATCCGCCGCACAGGACTCGAGGCACGCTGGGTTCCTACAGGTCATAATCATATGATCGCAGATGGTCTGACCAAGGACCGAGCAGAACCCATGGACTTGTTGAGGTCCGTGATACGCACGGCAAAGTATCAGCTGGCTGACGAACAGCTCGTACTGGACCGAAAAAGGGAAGAACGGGAGAGAAGAAAGCAGTTAGCCAACAAGCGTGCAGAAGCCCACAAGCAGAGACCAGGTTCAGAGCCTGAAGAGTGAATTCATGATGTTTGTTCCGCAACCATGCAAGCCTTTCGCATGTGCATCTTGTTTAATTGTAATTCTGCAAGTAAATGGTTTACTGCAGTGAGGGGCAATGAGCAGATGTTTTTCGTGCATTTTTCTAAGAAATAAGTTAGTGTGACGCCGCATGCAAAGCATGTAGATCATATGTCAAGAGCTTCAATGTTGCCTTCCATGTTCAACGTGTTTGATGTTTTCTTGAAAGCGAACTTCAGGATGGAAATCAGTTGTTTGATCAGTGTGCAATTTGCTCTCAAGAGTTTTCATCTTGGAGAGACCACATCAGATCTCCAGGAAAGAGTTTGAATTTTCGTTCAGGCCGATCGCAGTTGAGATGGCTTCCCATTCATCACCGGTTACGCCCGAAGAGCTGGCCCGTGCTCAGGAGATCATGACTCGTGCGACACAGGCTGGAGTGAAGAGCAGGAAAGATTCCGGCAGTGGATACGCCACCATGAGCGATGGATGCAAGCGTTTGAGAGATCAAGATCTGAAGGACGTGGCTCTCGATGAAGCTTGGGAACCGGTGGCATACACTGATCCGGATCCAACCTTGCTTCAGTCTCGCTTGGAAGGTGGAGTTCATTCATCCCAGGTTCCGATCACTCCAGAGAAGAAGAAGATCAATTTGCCAGCGGGAATTGTGAGCTTGAGTGACTGGGGCAGTACAGTCTGTCGATTGCCGAAGGTGAGCAAGATGGGCTTGACCTATGAAGAATTGGTCAAGGACAAGGGATATCAGAGTTACTTGCTCTGGATTCAGTCTCATGGCAAAAACAAAGACGGCAGGTTCGGTGATTTTGCAGCCTATCTGGCCGCAATTTGCTACGCTGAGGGTGTAAGTGACAAGTGCACCTCAGATGCTAGCTCGAGTTTTCCCGGAAGCACAGAGCGACGCGAGAAGCGTTGAGAGCTGTTGCATTTGAAAGAGACACCTGCCTGATGTGAAGAGTTCCCGAGAATCCTTTGGAAGATCCTTTTAAAGATTTTAGAAGTTGGATCAGTGAAAAAGCAGTGTCTCATGTATAGGATTCCGGAAGGTTCGCGACTACAGGCAACCTGGGCTCTAGGACGAGCGTGAAAAGGGCGCCGAAGGGAAGAGGGTAGGTTCCCTAGGTTTTGGGACATTGAAGTCCCTAGTTTCGACATATATATACGATTGCCAAGGGTTAAGGGATGTTCATGATTCACAACTACAGTATCTATCAGAAGATCTGGGCAGAGTTGCTGCAACAAGAAGTTCATGGTGTGCAAGACATTCAGCTTCACTGCGGCTGTGGCGATCTCCTCTTCCGTGGCCTCGTTTTGGCGGGTGAAGGTTGGAGGTCGCGAGTTTTCAAGGTCTCCTGCCCAACATTAAAACAAGCCCCAAAACATCTACGTAATATTAATACATCCTACCTACTACAGTTACATACATCCTACTACAAGTAGTCAACTCCTCGATCTGTCAGGAATCCAGCCAAGACCACGCACACCTCCGGCTTTCGATCCGCACTGGGCTTGCGCCTCGGCCGCCACCGAGCCCAGCTCGCTCAACAGCACCTCCAGCGCTTGAGAGGCCTCACAAGTGGCGATGCTACTGATTCATACTGATTCCCATGTTCTAATATGCATATACATGTTTCATGTCTCCCCATGTGGGGCTTGCGATTGGTGCTTACCACGTTCTGCAACCAGGCCTGGTACTTGGAAGCCTGGTGGAGGTGTTCGCTGGCTCTTATTGTGAGGTGGTGGTCATGGCCACACTATGTTTATATATATTGTGAACAGTCTCGGCCCGAGTCCTTACAGGGGTAGACTTAGACGGCGGAAGTCGGGCGGATGGTGGAACCCGTTTTGAATCCTCTGGTTTGGGGGACGCTGCTGCCGGAGCACGAAGGCAGCTGCGTCACTTTGGTTGTGACCATGGATGAGCATGGCAGGTGGATCAATCTCGCCTCGAAGCAGCGAGTTGTTCTGGATCTGACGGCGCATGTGGGTGTTGTGCTTTCTATCCATGCCTGGATTCTCACTAAGGTTACTAAGGCCGGAGTGGCTCATTGTGTTGCCGCTGATCGCTCGAGTCATTTTTGTCTTTCAAGCTTTTCGAAAAGCCCCCGATTTCGTGTTGAGCTTTGCTCAGGTTTAGCTGGAACTAGTTTGGGTTCAGTGGCTGCAGGGTTCCATCCCATTTGTGGAGTGGACTTCAAGCAGTTGGCTGTTGATGCCATGACCCGGAACAATCACCCGTCGCCAATTTTGGGTGACATCAGTGACTCGGCCACTTGGCTTGCCATCCAAAATTGCACTCAGGGGCATCTTTGTGGAGCGGTGGCAGGTTTTCCTTGCCAACCTTTTGCATCGATAGGATCCAAACTAGCCTTTCGTGACGCAAGAGCTGCAGTTTTTTCTTAGGGTACTTGATGTGACTTGGATTCTGCAGAGTGATTGGGTTTTGCTAGAGTGCACACCAGCCGCGGGTAAGAATGCGGACATCATTCGTCTCCTCGATGAGTACTGCAAGATTCGTTCCTTTCACTGGACGTCTGTGGTCCTGAAGTTGGAGCAAGCCTGGCCTTGCAGGAGAAAGCGATGGTGGGCTCTCCTCATTCCGATTGATGTTTCGCTTCCGCAGCTTGTTGATCTTCCTTTCATTCAGGCCAACCAATCGATAGCAGGTTTGCTCAAGGTTTGGCCACGTTGGAGTGATCAGGACGAGCATGCCTTAGCTTTGGATGACCAGGAGATTCATCTCTTCAGTAAGCACGGCACGGATGGCAATCTCTTGGATCTCAACCATCATGCACCTACACTGCTGCATTCTTTGGGACACCAGGCCAGGAGTTGTTCTTGCGGCTGCAGGGGTCCACTGTCAGAAGCGCTTCTTGCTTCACAGGGATTGCACGGTGTATTGGTTCGAGCTCAGGATGACCAGCATCGACTACGTCATTTGCACCCCAAAGAGGCCTCTTGGTTGGTCACCATTCCTGGTACCTTTGTGCATAGTGCTGCAGTGAGAGATGATCTCCCCCCTCATTGGGCAAGTGGCCGCGCCACTGCAATCAATGTGGATGCTCAGCTTTTTGAGGCAGGTTACTGACGCACCGGATTTCGATCAGCGTGGCATGGTCTCTGAGTTTTTGAACTTCCACAACTTGTCACATGCTGAGCGGTGGCCCATTGTTGGCATGTACAAAAAGCGAAGTATCACTGTCAACGTGGATCAGGAGCCAAGCTTTCAGGTTGCCATTGACACGCCCTGCACTGTTGGCCAACTTCGACGTGCTTGCTGCGCCATGGGCATTGATGTTCAGGCATTTTTTTGCTTGGGAACAAGATCGCCTCTTAGCAAATGATGCATTGCTTCGGACAGCCAGCATTCACTTTCATCCCCCTCTGGTGGGATGTGGGAAGCAGTTTGATTTAGAGAAGCAAGGCGTTCCTTGTTGTTTCCAAAGACAGGGACTCGATGACCTTACAATGTTGCAGCAAGCCAGGAGATTGATGCAGAAGTCTGGACTTGCTGATACTCAACTCTGGAGCCCGAGGCATATAACCAGCTTGTTGGAGATGTGGCCAGCCACTGCCAGTGACGACATCAAGAAGTACCTCATCCATGAGCAGAACTTTGGTTTCCTTTGGATTGATGGACACTGGATTGTTTTCCACATTTCCGTTGAAGCGGACACCACAGTTGCCCGCTTCTTTGATGGGTTCCAGGCCGAGCTTCCGGCTGATGCCGACATTTTGGCGGCACGCTTCGCAAAGAGCTGCAGGTACTCCCAACACAATTGTCAAGGCTGAACACTGTGTGCCTCAAACACATGGTTCTCACTGTGGAGCAGTTGCACTACTCAACCTCGGTGTAATTCTCAAGCTCTGGCAACAAGCCGATGAAGCTACAGCTGAGTTGTGGCATCAGATGCTTTTGTCCAAGCAGCAACGGCAAGGGCGGGGCAAAGACGAAGCAGCAATTACCATGCTTGCTGACATCCTTCATTCCAAGGGTGTACCAGCCGATCAGTTACAGTCACGTGCGCAAGCTGCCATTCGCAAGCTTACTTTGCCTGTCGTGGAGAAGGCTTTAGCTGCCAAAGACCCGTGGAAGGCATTAAAGGAGGCAGGGTCTCTCTTGTCCAAGCCGTTTCAATTTGTGCAGTATTCTGAGCTTCAAGCTCACATTCAGAGTCGTGCTGCAACCAAAAGAGGTGCTGACGGAAAGGTCGCCAATCAGAAAAAAGCCCAAGAAGATTCCTCCAACCTTGTCTCTTGAGGTTGATGACATGGAACTCATCCCAGGCAGCTTTGTTGATCCAGCCGGTGACGACTGTCCTGTGCTCACCATCCAAGAGCTTGTCAGTGACGCCAAAGGGGTTGCCATCGTGACACAGGAAATGGCTAAGGACCTTCGATCAGACTCCACCAACCTCAGTGTGGACTCCTTGGCGGTAGTGACCATTGGAGAGCTTCCTGCTGATACTTCGGATCGGGTGACAGCTGTTCAAAGGCCTGCTGTCTACAAACCCACTTCGGAGCCGATTTTGGTTTCAGGTTCACTGTGCAGCTTGGAGATCTCTCAGTTGAACGGAAAAAGCATGAGAGTGCACCAGAGGTTCCGCAGCTGGACACTACAGTCCTCAGACTAAGCGTGCACAAAGATATGTGTGATTGGGATTGGGATGAGCTCAAGCAAGGACCGCTCAAGTTCCTCGTGGCCAGGACTCCTCAGCTTCAATACTGTGATGGCACGGACTGCATGAAGAACTGTTCCAAGTTTCATGCAGCAGTTGACGAAGCTGTCAACACAGTCATTTTGGATGCTTGGTCCTGGCGATGGTGCACCAATGATGGAAAGCAGGTGAAGATTGCCATTGCGGACATGTTTGGAGTGTACCTCAGGGTTCCTTCATCTGGACTTGATTCTCTCCTCAAGATCAGTGGATGGCATGGCCTTTTCTTTGAGCCCCGCTCCAATGTTTCGCAAGGATCTCATCCTGCTTACAAGGTCGTTTGGCTTCCGAAGAACACCAGTCTTGATGAAGTGCACAAGAAAAAGCGAAACATTGATGTGGTGTTGGGATTGGCCAGGATGGCTTGCAAATTGGGCCTCCGCATCAACGTCAAAGATGAAAGTATGGTCCTCAAGCAGCTTTATCCTGACTCCAAGCAAGTTGCATGCAAAGTTACCCTCACTTTCGAAGTTGGACCACTGCCCTTTGGCATGACCAGGGAGGACATTGTGCTTCTGCTCTCAGCATGGAAATGGTTGGCCAAGCTCATCAGACCTCTCAGATCCACTCAGGTTGGCAAGTATTGGCAAGTAGGTTCAGAGCAACCTCCCCCCTGCTCCGATCCTACCCACAGATCAGGGCGAGGTCACAGTTACCTTGAGATCGCAGAATAGCAATGAGACGGAGCAGAAGAAAGTGGTCTTTGCTTCTGCAAAGACGCAGGCTCGCATGAAG